AGGTGGTGCCTGGGCCTGGTGCAGGGCATGAAGGCAAGTAAGTATCCCCCCACACCCAGACCCCTGCATCTCCAGCCCTTCACTCACCACCACCCTGCCAAGACTCCACCTCTCCAGCCTGCTCCTGCATCCTCCCTTGCTCGTGTACACTCCCCCCCCCGGCCAGAGACTGCACCTTCCCTTGTTCCTGCACCTTCCCTGCTGGTCAGACATCTACTCCCAGCCTGCTCCTGCATCCTCCCTTGCTCCTGTACACTCCCCCCCCCGGCCAGAGACTGCACCTTCCCTTGTTCCTGCACCTTCCCTGCTGGTCAGACATCTACTCCCAGCCTGCTCCTGCATCCTCCCTTGCTCCTGTACACTCCCCCCCCCCCGGCCAGAGACTGCACCTTCCCTTGTTCCTGCACCTTCCCTGCTGGTCAGACATCTACTCCCAGCCTGCTCCTGCACCCCTCTGTCCACCCAGATCCTGCACCCCATTCCTCTCACTGGCAGCCCTGTCCCGCACACTGACACCCCGCTCCACCATTTTTGTCCCAACCCAGAGCCTGGGGGGGGGGTTCCACAAAATCCACTTATCCTGAAACCCCAGAAGAGTAAATCTGGCCTATGGGAAACCCTGAAGCTCAGTCCTCCCTCCCACTCTCCCTCCCTCTCCCCCAATGGGGCTGGAGCACAGAGGAGTGAAGTGTCTCAATTGGGGGTCACATCAGCGAAGGTTGGGGGTTTTGGAGGAGGTATTTTTCCCTTCTCCCTAGTGTGGTCCCCAATCGTTTTTTTGGTGTCTCAGGGGCTCCCAGACCCGTGAAAGGTTCCCCACTCCTGCCATAAATAAAGAAAACATGGGAACCCTTTGTGCTGGACATACGTTCCTATTTTACTTTATTTGAAAATAAGGGTGGTACGCTACCATGAGAAGGATAAAGTGCCAATTGGCTGTGTCTAGACTGGCCAGTTTTTCCGGAAAATCAGCAGCTTTTCCAGAAAAACTTGCCAGCTGTCTACACTGGCCGCTTGAATTTCCACAAAAGCACTGACTTCCTACTGTAAGAAATCAGTGCTTCTTGCGGAAATACTATGCTGCTCCCATTCAGGCAAAAGTCCCTTTTGTGCAAAGCTTTTGCACAAAAAGGCCAGTGTAGACAGCTCAGATTTGTTGTCCGCAAAAAAGCCCCGATGGCGAAAATGGCGATCGGGGCTTTTTTGCGGAAAAGCGCGTTTAGATTGACATGGACATTTGCTTTTGCGGAGAAGCGTCCGTGCCAATCTAGACGCTTTGTTCTGAAAATGCTGTTAACGGAAAACTTTTCCATTAAAAGCATTTCCGGAAAATCATGCCAATCTAGACACAGCCATTCTGTTTAATACTTTAAATGAATATTTCCTTTTTTACTAGCAAAACGGCTCGGGCATAATTATGTAATCAACGGTGAGTTTCCATTAGCCACCGGTGGTCCATGGAAAGCTTTGTATTGAGCCAAGTGGACCACGGGCCAAACAGTTTGAGAACCCGTGGCATAAGGGGTTGGGTGAAACTGGGCAGGGAGGTGGTTGGTAGGAACACTGGCAGTGCAGGACTGGCGCTGGGGGGCAGGTGGGAGGGAAGCGCAGGGGTTGGGGTGAAAGTCACAAAATGTTGGGGTGAGGGACACAGTGTAGGAGTTAGGGTGCAGGAGAGGCAGAAGTTACGGGCAAAGGGGACACAGGATGGAGGTCCAGGGGTGGGGGATCCCATGGCAGCCAAGGGAAATGGGGAGGCACCATACCCGGGGTGAGAGGTGTAGGGGTGCCAACATACAAGTTCACTCAGGGGGCCATTTTCCCTAAGGCTGGCCCTGAACTCGGAGTTGGATCCCTGCCCACCTTGGAGAAGAGCCATTGATGGAGATCCTCCAGGAACTTCTTATTGGACCCACAGAGAAGAAATCCTTTTCTCTGTTTGAAATCTGCAGCCTATTTATTTCAGTTGCTGTCCTCGACTCTTGTGCCATGTGAAGAAATGAATAACATTTCCTTATTCCATTTTCCCCGCATTTACAATGTTATAGACCTCTAGCATCTCCTTCCTTAATCGTTTCTTTTCAAAACTGAAACATCCTGGTCTTTTAAGTTTCTCTCCATAGGGAAGGACTTCTTTATGCCTAATCCTTTTCTCGTTCCCTTATCTGTATCATTTTCAAATTCAATAGAACTTTTTTTTTTCGAATGGACAGACCATATCTGCACGCAGGTTTTCAAAAAGTGGTCATACCATGGATTTATATAGAGGCAATATAATACTTGTATCTTAGGGTATTTCTAGACTACAAGCCTCTTTCAAAAGAGAGCGTCTAGACAGCCACAAGACTTTCAAAAAAACGAGCTCCTTTTCTGAAAGAGAGCACCCAGGCAATCTGGACGCTCTCTTCTGAAAAAGCCCTGTTTGCATTCAAGAACACCTTTTTTCAAAAGAGCTCTTTCAAAAAAAGGCATTCTTCCTTGTAAAATGAAGTTTATTGCTGTCGAAAAAACCACTGCGTTCTTTCAATTTAATTTTGAAAGAACGCGATGGCAGTCTAGACGCAGGTGACATTTTTTGGAAAAATCTCTGTAGTCTAGACATAGCCTTATTGTCTAGCCTTTATCTACATGGTTCCCAATATTCTGTTAGCTGTATGGCCTGCCACTGCACACGGACCAGATGTTTTCTTAGCACTGTCCACAGTGACTCCTTCGTGAGTGGGAATGGAAAGCCCAATATTTGGCATTTCTAGTTGGGGTTATTCTTTGCCATGTGCATGACTGTGCATTGTTCAACAGTAAATCCCTCTTGCCCTTGTGCTGCTCACTCCCCCAAGTATTGTGAGACCCCTTTAATATAGTCTTATCCTTTGTTCCCTGGGCATTGCACCAATACCGAGGTGGGGAGGGGGATTTCGGTGTGACCGTCTTCCCCATGGGTGCAATGGCTGATGTTTCCGTATCCTGAGCCCAGGCCGGGAGAGAACAGGGGATTCCTTTGCCCAGGAAGCGGGACGAAGGCCAAGGCCTGAAAGGCTTGGACCAGGGAGCTGAGTGTGTCTTGGCTGGCATGAGGTGCAGGGAGGAGGGTCATGGCCTTTCACTCCAGGCCCCCTCTCCCAAGATGGATGCTGCCGGCTGCTTCTGGCTTCTGTTCTGACAAGTCTGTGCCCCTGTTGCCTAGTAAATCTTCTGTGCTCCCTGCTGGCTGGCAGTCTCCTCAGGCTGCGGATGGGGCCTGGTGGCTTCTCACTCCTCACTGACATCAGGCAGCTCTGAACAAGGCTCGTTACCAAGGTGACATCTCTTCCCTCCACTCTCCCCGCAGCCCTTCTGGGTGGGC